CCCACCCACACAGACCAGTATTTGCAGTTTGACTCCCATCACCCTTTTGAGCACAAGTTAGGAGTCATCAGGACTCTTTATCACAGAGCAGACAGCGTCCCCACTAGCTCAGGAGCCAGGCAGAAGGAGAAATCCCACACAAGACAGGCTCTAGAGCAATGTGGATATCCTAACTGGGCCTTCCTGAAAGCAGAGAAGAAACCCAAACAGGACTCCAGTCAGCCAACAGGTGAAAAGGAGGAACCCAGACCCAGACCAGTGGTCATTCCGTATGTTGAGGGAGTATCAGAGAAACTGAGACGTTTATTTTCTAAACATAACGTCCCAGTGGCTTTTAAACCCCAAAATACATTACGGCAAAGACTAGTTCATCCCAAAGATCCAGTCCCCCGGCACAAACAGAGCAATGTTGTGTATTCTGTTCAGTGTCAGGAGGGCTGTGATCAGTCTTACATCGGGGAAACTAAACAGCCACTGGCCAAAAGGTTGGCCCAGCACAGAAGATCAACATCATCAGGCCAGGACTCTGCGGTCTACACTCATCTCCAGGCCAGCGGTCACTCTTTCAGGGATGAAGATGTTCACATCCTGGACAGAGAGGAACGATGGTTTGAGAGAGGAGTAAAGGAGGCCATCTTTGTGAAAAGAAATCGTCCATCATTAAACAGGGGTGGAGGCCTCCGGGTTCAACTGTCCCCTCTTACAATGCTGTGATTGCTAGTATCACTCAGCCCTCTGTGAATAGTAAACAGCCATCAGTGTGCTAATGATCCATTGTTAGGCTGATGGTCCTTCTTGAGCATGTGATCAGCTGGTTTTGGTTGTCAGCAGCAAAACTGGTTGATCCACTCTAAGAAGGTGCTATTTAAGAGTCTGAGCTGAATACAGCACCTCAGACTGAGGAAGTCTCTCAGATGAGAGACGAAACGTTTCTACATTTTTTTTTGTTGATTTGCTTTGTTTTGTTTTTTTTGAATGTCCAGAGGACCAGATTTAACTTTTTTAGATAAACTTTATATACTTAAGGACTTATAAAACAGTTCATTACAGAATTTTCCACTTATTGATAGAGAGTCAGTCATGGCAGTAAAAAGAAGGTGATTACTCAAAAGGACAGGATGAGGTAAACTAACGGGAAACATTCCATTGCAAAATGCTTGTCTGACCTGTCCTGTCATGCCCTTTGTGCACCTTCACAAAGTAACCCATTTCTTGTTTTTAAAACTGCTGAGTAACATATTTTCAAATTGACAGCGTCAAAAAGAAGGAGGATGACTCACTGTGGTGACCCCTGAAGAGGGAATAATCCAAAGAAGAAGAAAAAGAAGAAAATAAAAGATTTTAAATTCCCTCCCCATCACAGTAAAGACTATCCCACAGCTACAAATGTTGTCACCTCTTCAACAGACACTTGGTAACTTTTGCAACCTATTAATTCCCATTGTTTCAATGGTCAAACATTTATTTAATAACTGATTATAAATGAATAATATGAAGAAATAGAGGGTTCACTCAAGTTTTTTGCACACTAGTTCATGTTCTGTTTTCTCTGGTTCTATATGTCCAGTGGATTTCGTTCATGAATTTAATGTTGCATTCATTCCAGAAGATACCATCTCCAGAACTTTTTTCTAAAAATAAACCTCATTTTCTATTACTCAAATAAAATAAAGTGCACTGTCTAACATTGACCCTCCCCCTGAAATTCCACCTTTTATTAGTAGGATTTACAGTTCGTGTGTGTTGGCACTTGTGATTGTAGGAGTAGGAATGTCTACGAAAGCTCAAAGTACACATATGGAAGTCCATAAAAGGGAGAAACCACACCTTTTTGCTGTCGGGAACTGTCACTCAATAAACACTGAAGTAGGAACTCTGGCCCGATTTATTGGGCTGGAGCAGCCCAGTTAATGGTTTGAATTGGACTACTTCAGCTAACGTGCACAGGAAAGGGACACAGGGGTGAAAGTAAAAAGTCCAGCAACCCTTAAGATCCATAGAACACATTTAATTTGAGATCCCTGACCAGGGTGAGGATCAGGATATGAAACATATTAGTATTTAAATAACGTTGGTCTTCATAGCACAATTTTAACCTAATAATCTTTAGTCACCTCTTCCCTCAAAGCTTTATAGGTTAAGTATTAAAAATAATAATTTAATGAACTGGAAACAATTAACAGTGTAAACAAAGAGCATTGAATCGGAAAGTGCATACGTCATGGTTAGTTTCATACTGTCGTCACCATATCTCTGTGACTGACTGATACTGATTTCTTGCGCTCTCATCTGGGTTTTCTCTCTCACACACAAGCACACACAGAAACCTTCCCAAAATTTGACATGAGTAGGAAGTTTAAATTCATAGTTTAGGGCTTTCTTTTTTGGACTGCCTTCAGTTTTTTATATGAATGAAATCCTTATAAACCTACACACTGCATTGCTTTGGCTACAGGTGATTTTATTACCCAGTGTATGTCTGAACAGGTCACTTCCTGTTAGATGCTGACCTGTGTACTGCTTTGACATGTAGGTGTAAAAAGTTACTCACTTCATGTGGGCAGTTCTCACATGGCTGGAAGTGACAGATTCCTCTGGACAGCTGCTCTGTACCATCACTACAGCACGCTTCCACGCCCATCTCAATTGCACGGTTGATTTTAGTCAAAGAGAAGGCGCACAGGGCTGAGTTTTTCTGAGGCACCCCTCGCTCGTCAACCTTTGCGAACACCCCATACAAAATGTCTTCGTTCACGCTGACCCTCAGCTCCTCGGCCAAATCCTTCCCTGGTTGTCCAAAGTGGGCAGCCTGCAGCCCATTGTACACAATGTCCCTGAACTCCTCCCTCCGTCTCCTCCGGCGTTTTGGTTCATAACGACACTCTAAGACCACCTCTCTGTACATCCACACTTCTGGAATCAAAATTGGCAGTCGACCCAGATGAGTCTGAAAGGGTGAGTTGCTCCTGAACGGATTTTCCCTCTGCAAGGACAGAAAGTAGACATACTCCTTGGTGGAAAAACTGTAGATGTAGTCTATGTTGTAAGAATTACGTAGACTGGGCAGCACTGTGAGGTGATCACTGCTCACGTCAAAGCCATCCTCAGTGGAAAGTGGCCTCCGCACTGAAATGGACCTCCTTGGATACTTCTGTGTCACTTTGTCATTGACGGAAGCTGCCACAAAAAACAATGATGTCACTCCCTGTTCAGCGATTGTGACTTTGGTGCCAAGAGAGCTGGCCAGACAGTCTGGACAGTTTTCAGGAGAGTTTCTGAGTTTATTGTATAAACATATAGGGTCGGGTTGTGGAAAACTGGTGTCAATAAAGTAACAGATCCCATTCTGAGAACTTCCACAAAAGTACAAGTATGGCAAAACAAATCCAAGCGGATCAAAAAGAAGAACCTCGTTGTCTGTGTCCAATTGATCCTCGGGATCAGTTTCTATGTCACACAGCTGGCAGGTCTGACAATCAAGGCTGCCCACAGGTCCGGTTTTCACTTCCCATGTTTTGGTCATGGAATTATTAATTGCCACTATACCATTTTGGTATCCAAGATACACTTCTGTTGGTGGGGATTCCCAGTTTAATGCAATATTCTGAATGGGTTTCTCTGTTTGGAAGTAGGGGAGAGAATATTCTACGTTGAAATCCACTGCTTTACGAGGAGCGGAGGGACACAAATGCTCTCCTGAGGAAGTCCGTGTTTGGATCCATATGAACACTGTCAGCAAGGCAGTCAAAGTGACCATCTCCACGTCACAGCCGAATGTAAATGAACGCTACCTACAAAACACTTTCCAAAAAGAAAACATTGTGGAGAAGCAGTGGGGGGAACCTGTGAGAGGAAACAGAAAAGGAATGTTGAGATTTAACAGAGAGGCCAGCAGCTTTTATTTCTCACATAAAACAGAGATTCGCTGTTGCTAAAGAGGAGGTGTATACATTAATCTGAATCAGTCAATTTGTGTAATCATTCATAAGCCTACAATTAAACAAATAGTACCTTTTCTAATGAAGCAGGTGTAAAATTATGGTCTGATTAGTGGAATCGGTGAAAGATTCAGTGGAAAAAATAACTTGAATGAAGACAAAAACAAAAGTGACGAGGACACGCTGCAACATGTGGAGTAACTGTGGAAACTTTTAGACTTAGACCCACACAAACTAATACAGAGTAGATGCCAAAGACAAGCCATGGATTAAATTTTAGCCTATTATCAACATGTACAAAACTACTAACAGCCATGATACTGGAATTAGAGTAGCCATAAGAGTAAATTGTAATAATGATCCCTTATTTGGGATGATGAGTTTAATTACAAGGAATTACGAGGAAAGTAAGGTTAAGATGTTGTAACATGTTAATTACAGCAGAAACATAGTAAACTGTTACAACCCTCCACAATAAAAGTACATACAGAAATTCGTACCTCGTTTTGAAAAGGAAGGAATTTCTCATAAAAGTAGATTTTAAATTTGTTCTCCTCAAGATTAACTTTTAACAAGAAAAATGGTCTCAGAGTAAAATCTCCTCAGCCGACAGTGTTCACCTGACTGCCTCTGTCACAGTTTGTACGTCCAGGACAGAACAGGCTGTCAAATTAAAGTAAGCTGCAGTCTGAAAAAAGAAACCGGATGTGAGCCTTCAAAATAATAGCGCGCTTGAACTCTCAAAAAGAGAGAAACTTTCTTTTTTTTTTTTTACACTGAAGAAATGACTATTAACCTTTAATAGTTTTACAAATCTGAGGTAATTGCACAAGATGGAAGAAGAGTAAATTGCTTGAAAGCATAGAAAGACTGTGTTTTGAACTCTTTGACAATGATTTACAGGCCTAAGGTCAATTTACAAAATTACATTTTAGTATGTTTTTTTTACATGTGAGAGAAGTAAAGTTTAAAATATATGTACCTGTAAAAATGGGCTTTTGTCCAATTTTTGCTCTACACTAGTAGTCAGCTTATTCTGTTATGGTCTCGTGTTTGGTGTTATTTACTGGACTGAAAATGGAAGTCTGGAGAAACAAGACATAGTGGCATTTTAACTATTTATTTAATTTAATTTGGGCAGCATGGTGGCACAACTGGTAGCGTTGCTGCCTCTCAGCAAGCAGGTTATAACCTGGTTCAAATCCCAGTCAGGGGGCCTTTCTGGGTGGAGTTTGCACATTCTCTCAGTGAATGTGTGGGTTTACTCCAGGTACCCCAGTTTCCTCCCACAAACCAAAAACATGCATGCTAGTCTGATTGTTAACTCTAAATTGTCTCCAGGTGTGAGTAGGGGAGTGAATGGTTGTTTGTCTCTTTTGTCTCTATGTGGTTTTGTGATGGACTGGAGACCTGGCCAGGGTGTACCCTGCCTCTCGCACAGTGACAGCTGGACATGGACACCAGTGACCTCCACAATCCAAAAAGGAAGAAGCAGGTAAAATATAATGGATGGATGTATGGATGGATTTAATTTACAGAGGTCTCAAGTGACCATATAGCCACAGCAGACTGGCACCTCCTCCTCAGACTGCTGATCAGCTTGGTCACACACTGCTGTGGGCTCACGTCTCATTCTTCAATCTGCAATGTAAGCCTGCCAATGTGGTTGCATTGGCTACTCTGGAAAAAACCATATGCCCAAGCTGATCCCACAGGTGCTCAATGAGGTTGAGATCATAACTGCAGGTAGGTCAATCTACAGTATACTCTCCACACCAAGAATCTGGTGGTAGTCTTGGATAAATCTCGTTAAGTGTTAAGTTCAGCACTTCGGACGGCTGCTTGTTGTATTTTAAGTGCTTGAAATAAAATGGTATGGCATGGTATGGTATGGTATGGTATGGTATGGTAAGTGGGGGTGAGTGTTGCCATTTTGGAGCATAGAATTTAGTCCCAGACTGTGGAGATGTGGGATTGCCATCGGTTTCTTACAATCGGACACTTGATTGTCTACACCCGAGGTGCCAAAAGTCCAAACATATCATTTGCAGAATAAGTTGTTTGACAATGGTTGAAAAAAATTGGCAAGTTATTCATGGGAACAGCCCACACCCACAACTCTGCTGCTCAACCCACAAATGCATTTCAAACAGGCTTTCCAATGGTATAACACTTATTACCAAGAAGTATTGTTACAGCAACAAAAATGATAAAAGATCAGTCTGTCTTACTTTTTGAGCTATGTAAAAATGTAAAAGTTGGATAACAAAATACAACAAATACACATTATATAAAATACATTGTATATATAGAGAGATCTATAATATTACCTTCTTGTAATCCAACCAATTAACAGGGAACATTTCCACTTAGCAAAAGTTTTACATTTAATTTGAAAATTACTGGCCTGAAACACCTTCCTCACTTCTGCTTACTTGACTGTAATACTTCAAATCAGGGTGCTGTTCGGTCAAGCCGCACCCACCACAAGGAAGTATAAAGTTGTTGCGAAATTACACCCATCTCCACCACCCCCTTCACCAAATGAGAAAAAAATGTTTCCTTAATTTATTAGTTCTATCATTCACTTTCCAACTTAGCCATGACTGAGTTCAGTTTAGTGGAAAATCTTTCTCTGCATTAAAAAAATGAACAGTCTTGTTGGTTTTCAGCCAGAAATGAATTGCTTTTACATGAGGTCTGGGGTTGTGCAGGCAACTGCAGCCGTGAAGTTATGACAGGAATGTTTTCATTCCTTAAACACTTTTCTTAAACATGCAGAGGAAAACAGAGACACAAGCAATAAAGGTACAAGTGGAAATCTGTGATTGTATGGCAAAAATCCTATTTGAATAAAGGAAAAAGTGATTAAATAAGTTGATTCTTTTCAATATTGAAGACTAATATTATATCTTATTAAGAATCCTTGTCACCATCATCAACTGGCAAGTGTAAATGTAGAGGAAAATCTGAATCCAAAAGTTAAACATCTACTGTTGAATCCAAAGTTCAGCAAAACACAAGCGCTGTTACCTTACACAGACTAGTGGTTATTTACACTCTCACTTTTCAAAACCTTAGACCACAAAGAGCATGCATTGAATTTTAATGAAAAAATGTTGAAAGACTATCAAAGCAAAACCAAACCCATTTTTCTTATTTGATTATGACAATTCTTGCTTGATTAAACTCTTTGATTGTGACTAATTAAACAAAAGCAACTTCAAGGAGTTCAAATTCAGTTCGAGTTTGTACCAGTCCCTACAACTTGTACAGAAACGACTGCAGAACTTGGACCAAAGAACTGAATGAAGCAGGATGCTCAAAATGTCCCAAAAGAGCTTTCAAGGATGATTATTCTGGGAATCTCAGTCCTCACCTCCTTCTACAGGTGTGCAGTGGAGAGCATCCTGTGCTCCAGCATCAACGTGTGGCATGGAGGCTGCACAGCTGCAGAAAGAAAAGCTTTGCAGAGTGGTGAAGGCTGCACAGAAGTCTGTTGGAGTCAGTCTCCCCACCATCACAGACATCTACACCTCCAGATGCAGGAAAAGAGCCACCTGCATCATGAAGGACCCCACTCACCCAGCACACACACTTTTTGCCCCGCTCCGCTCAGGAAGGAAGTTGAGGAGCATTAAGTGTAGAACCACTAGACTGACAGCTTCAACCCTGAGGCTGTTAGACTCATGAATCTCTAACCAAGATAATCACTGTGAAAAAATCACATCATGTTGCTGCTCAGTGGCGGTTCCTTATATGGGCGACATGGGCAGCCGCCCAGGGCGGCCTCCAGCAGCGGGCAGCATAACACGGCATAACACCACCA